CAGCATTAATTACCTAACAAAATAATGCTTTTATAAGAAAAAGTTTTAAATTTTAACTCATTTCTATCCAATTCGTGTATTATAAAGATCGCATAAAGATCAATTATTTATAAATTGTCATTTATTATGTAGGAGATAGGGTGGAGGTGCAGCATGGGCCGGGCCGCACCACGTGGCTGGCCCATGTTATCTAACTCAGGAAGCGAGGCGGACCGCACTCTTCTCACTTATCACTTAACATATTCACATACTTCTTGAGCTCCTCGGTTGTAGTGTGATCCTGTCCTCAAGGTCATGCACTTCTGGTGATAGCAACTATATATATATTTATTTATATTGTCTTGGCCAACTATATTGGGTCTTTATATAACTTTCATCTCTAGCTTACTGGATTGTTAGTTATGCATGAATGTTGTGTATACCTCACACAGTATACTAAGTTTCATCTTTAAGGGACTGTATTAAAAGAAACAAAACAAGGAAAGAGATGAGAAAAATTATGTATAAACGAAGCAATTTAATGGTATCACTAAGCTATAGTGTACTCGATGAACCCGCTCAGTCGAGGCTATGTTCGCTTGACGAGGGAAGGGATTGCAGCCGCCGCACTCAGCTGGCTACAAGTAAAGGAATTGTAATTGTAACGTCAATGAGTTATTCATAAAGAGGGTTATCTCCGAAGCGAAGCAATTAACGAAGTCAGCTGTTCTGTGACGTCACATGTCCTTGAGGGCTTGTTTGCGTTTCTCCTGATAAGTCTTTCAAAACTTTAATGTCTCCTTAACTAGTAAATAATACCCCAAGATCCTCTACTGCATTAATGGGGTGATACTAGGTATAGATGTATGGATATTTTTACAATAAGGTTTGCTTTTATGGTATAATTTGTGAAAAACAAGATGTGGCGCATTATTGGAACTCTCTGGTGTTGTTATTGCCGCCATATTGTGTGACACAGTTTCAATGTTGAAGTGAAATCCAAACGTTTGCTACAACATCTGCCCCTGGGCTGTATGCTGGTTGCTGTCTAGCTCACCCAGAGTCATAGGTTTGCACAAACTTAGTAAGGTAAGAAGTGTGAGGGCGGAGGTGTTGTAGTGGCAAGACAAGACGTTTGGGTTTTACGTGTCATCTCGCGTCACCGCCTACGACTCGTGTGTCTACCAGGATAACACCACCAGGATATCTTACTGCACCCGTTGTTACCTTTGGCACCTGTGACAATAACACGGTCACCGAACGTTATTCAAGGATGTCAAGGGAAATTTAAGGCATTCATCTAACACAGAAACAGGAAACGTGAAACATAAGCCTGCATGAAAGTGTCACTTGGAACATTTCTTTAGAAATGTTAATTTCTGGTTTACAGCATTTAATAAGTGGGAACGTCGTTAAATATATCTAACAATTTTTTTGTTGATACGAACTATTAATTTGATTAAACAATATATATAATGAGACAATTATACTCTAAAGTTGTCTTATTCTGTTGTGGTCCAGTTCTTGAACCAATTGTGCTATAAAAGACTATTTATATATATACGTTAACTGTGTTTATCCGATCATTTTATCAGATTGTAACTTGCTTGGCTAAATGAATTTGGGTTGTCCCTGAGCCCATTATGTACCTCTGTAACCTTTTCCCAGGGATGGCTATGGGGTGCATAATGAATGAACCCAATGATATTAAATATTAATGGGAATGTCACTATGCTATGGCCTGTCTTCTTCGACAACACTCTTTGGTGCTGATGTAATGCAAACAAATTATGTACACAATTGAATGTTTGCCTTATTGTATAGTATGTCTGAAATAATATGCAAATAATGATGTACAATACAGTACTGTAAATTTTTAATTACTTTGGAGCCTAATTGTTGCCACTCTAATGATTTTTTTTTTGTAAATATTTTTTTATAAATCCTTTATTTAGAACATTTTGGTATATATTAAAGACTTCTGACTGTTCAGTCTATGCCAGATAGTTTAAACGGGTAACGCTAAAGAACTCGGAAGAATCCAAAACGTGTGGTGGTATTAAAATTCTGACATCATACAGTAGTGATGTCACATGTCTCGTATATCTTGAGGTTATCTTGAGGTCATCTTGAGATGATTTCGGGGCTTTTTAGTGTCCCCGCGGCCCGGTCCTCGACCAGGCCTCCACCCCCAGGAAGCAGCCCGTGACAGCTGACTAACACCCAGGTACCTATTTTACTGCTAGGTAACAGGGGCATAGGGTGAAAGAAACTCTGCCCATTGTTTCTCGCCGGCGCCTGGGATCAAACCCAGGACCACAGGATCACAAGTCCCGTGTGCTGTCCGCTCGGCCGACCGGCTCCTCTATACACTATACATAAACAAGTTAACTCTTATTTGTATTGTGTTGAGGTTGGATTGACTTGGGTTGGTTTGAAGACTATTAGTGATGTAGACAGGATAGATGTTTCTCAGATCTTAGACACTGTTCTTTGATCTGTAATCTTTGGCTTGAGAAGTGACTGCAGTATTTTTTTTTATTTTACTGAGTGAACTCATTTATTGTAACTCAGGTTTTTGTTTACTAAAATATGCCATAATTGCAGAACATTTAAATTTAGAAGGCCTGGAGAATGACATGAAGTACTGTTCTTTGAAACCGAAATAAAACGGTGTACTTTTTGTAATTGTCCAAGGCCCTTTGAGTTTAGTTACTGGGGATTTTCACGATTTCCTGCGCTGACATGCTAGGGGTATACAAGAATAGATGGTTATATTAGATATTCTAGAAATTACAATGTTTTAACCACTGCCCTGTGCAAAGCACCTGAAGGTGCTCTGAGGGTTGGGATTTTTTTTTAATTAGGCCATATTTTTAAGTTTTTAATGTTTTCATTGCTTTTTGTGATTTGAAATGATGATGATTGAGTTTGGAAACATTTTGACATTAGCTGAACATTTATAAAAACAACAAAATTATGTCCTTAACAACTGCACCATGAAATTTTTGCCCAAAACAGGTGCACAGTGCAGGGGTTAAAATAAAATTAGTGAACACGGCATTAAAAAGAAAAATATTGATCAGTGCCTACCTAAAATTTATCATAAAAGGATTCTATATATCTTCTAAGTCTAGGACTGTTCATTTTCTTCCATGCATAATTAATTTAACTTGGTTTTAGGCACTCAAAATGTTTGGGGAAAAATAAATGTTGGTTAGATTAAACTTACGGTTTTTGAGTACAAAACTCTGAGGGTATTATAGTACATGTACTGTATTTAGATACAGTACAGGATAATAGTTATTACAGTATAAGAAAATCAGTAGGTGCCATGAGGATGATTCGAACCTATGGTCTTGGTACTCTCAAGTGGTCTGTTTAATTGCCCAAAGCTTTCTAGCATTAAGTAAGTAATGAAGAAATATGACATTTACTCGATATAATGTTGGTGCTGAATGTAGAACATTGGGAAAAAAAATAGTTTTGTTCTGAATTAATATCTTTTTATAATGAAATTGGATCCATCGAATCACCCAAAGCCACAACATTGTCACTTGGATTGTCGACTTCCTGTACTCGCCTAGTTGTACTCGCCTAGTTGTGTTTACGGGGGTTGAGCTCTGGCTCTTTGGTCCCGCCTCTCAACCATCAATCAACTGGTGTACAGATTCCTGTGGTGCCACCTGCCACATAGTTTCATCTAATTTCATTATAAAATAATATTAACTCTGAATAAAAATGTGTTTTCATGTTTTACATTCAACACTAACATCATAGTGAGTAATGTCATATTTCTTCATTATTTACATAATGCTAGGAAGCTTTGGGTAATTAGACGGACCCGTCCCAAACATTTGACAGAAGGTTCGAATCCCCCCTACTGATCCTACTCAGCTCCTACTGATTTTCTCATTGATTCATCATGTAAATGTGATTTCCTTGTTTATATATATTGTACTGTATTTGTGATAGTATAAAACTTAATACAATGTACTGTATAAACAATGGAGCCAAAATATGGTGTAGTATAATATTCTAGAAGTAGTGAAAACTAAATTTGGGCCCTTTTAACTTGCTTGCCTAGTTGTATTTGCGGTGGTTGAGCTTTGGCTCTTTGGTGTTTGATGGTTAGTGTTTGATCCAGTTTGTGGTTCGGCAAGCATATTAATCCTGTTCGTGGCTTGGTGAATATATTGATCCTGTTCATGGCTTGAATATGTTGATCCTTATTCAGACAATGAGTCCCAATAACATGGCTGAGGACTGATGACCACATATCTGAAAATGAAGAAATGACAACGTTTCGGTCATTTCGGTCTGGACTAATGGTCTGGAACCGTACCATTATCAAATGATAATGGTCCGGGACACACCGAAATGTTGTTTCTTCATGTTCTGGTGTATGGTTTGGTCATCATATTGATCCTGTTCATGGCTTGGTGATCATTATATATAATGATTATTGGTCATTGTAAATATGAAAGAGCCTTCCCTTTCTCATTAGAAATCGGTTACAAATACTGTGTTTTAATATTTTTTTTAGTGTATTTAATACTTTATACATAATTCCTTGGTAAGTATGTTTATATTTTGTTTTATTAATATTTTCTATACATTGAACTTTTATGGCTTGCAGTTGAGTTAAATGGTCCAAATTTTCAATTTTAAAATGGAGACAAACTATTTTTTGGTCCCTCTACTTTTGTGAAATTGTAGACAAAGAATAAAAGAAATATTGTTCTTGGATTTTGGAGCATAAATACTTCTCATAAGCTGCAGACTTTTGAAGTAGGGTCTTGCCACAATCTTATACTCAAACGAACAAATCCACAAGGGCCGTGACGAGGATTCGAACCTGCATCCAGGAGCATCCCAGACACTGCCTTAATCGACTGAGCTACGACAGGGTTAAAAGAGTTGAAACCGAAGTTCTACTGAACTTACTGGATCCCGTAGCCTCTCCGAGGCACAAACCAGGATTTTACACAACTCCCCCCTGCACCCGAGCTATGTTAATAGGCCGTTCTTCCTCTTCGCCCTTACATCATTACACACAGAGATCACACTAACGTGATGTATCAAATGAACACCATGACTCATTTTGTACTCAAACACCGTGACTCATTTTTCCATCAGTTGACTGTAATATCGTCTACTATTTCTACAAGTCCAATTATGGATACCCTATTGCCTTTATAAAATTATATACCTGGGGTTGACAGGCTGTGACATAGCAACGTGCGACATGTTTTCTTTGCTGAAGCTCTGAAGGCTGATGTTACAGTAGTATCAACTTTCTCGAAGTTGGATTAACAGCCATTTTATTTGTTATAATTTGGGGGAAACTATTAAATATAGATGACAAGAAATATACCAAAAATAATCTTTAAATTAACACTGTACTTTTAAGTATTTTTGGCCACGAAGATTTTGTTACAAACCATATCTTCAGTATGCAATACTGTATTTTGGGCAGAGAGTGTTTATATAGTAAGTTGGCTAGAGAGAGAGAGAGAGAGAGAGAGAATTACCATATATAAAAACAAGGGGTGTAGATATTTGTTTCTGTGAGGCCGCTTTCAGCTGGCTGCTGACAGACTGTAGCTTGACGAGATCTCTCCACCCATGAAAAGTGCCAGCAATCATGAGTTGATTATGGACTACCAGTAGAATGTATATACAGCACATGTTTTGTAAAGGAAAAATGGACTCTTATACGGCATGCCAGTAGAGTAATGTTAAATGGGATTATTTGGATATAGATTAGTGATGATTGGACATGTGGCATTAAGGGGCAGAAGTGACAAGGCATCCTCGGTGACTAGACCATAAAATGACGGATGGGGACGAATTGTTGACCAGTCTCATGGCTTTAGAGGATTACAATCCTCCAGACAGCCAGATAAGCCACAAGTTATATTTATTTAACATGCAGGAGATCATAGGGGTTGTTTTGAGAAACTACAGCATAGGGATAGAGTCCAGGATTCCAAATATATTTCTTTGGGTTTTTGACAATCTTACCTGAGTGAATAATGCTTAAACTTAAGATTATCAGACTAAGGTGTTTAGATTGAATATCTTGCCTATGTTTAATTGGGAATTGTTAACCATATTGGTAATTTTGATTATTATACTGTATACCTACCTAGTTGTGCTTGTGGGGATTAAGCTCCAGCTCTCTGGTCCTGCCTCTCAACTGTCATACACCCGGTGTGTGTGCATGCATGTGTAAGTAATAAATCGTACCTCTGCAAGTTGAACAGAAGCATCAGGCAATAGAAATAGTTTGGTGTGGTTTCCTATTCCACCCACGAATTGAACCTGGGATCCCCAATTGAGTCGAGAACAAAGCCAATTGCTCTGAACTACGAGACCCATAAGTGTGCTGCAGTTGACACATCTACTTTATACATACCTAATACTTCTGCATTACCTGACCCTCCCCATTCTGATGCCAGCTCAGTGATACATGAAACGTTTATACAGTGCTACACTAAAAATCAATTTGTGAAGTTATTAATACAGTAATAGCATTGATAACCAATGGCAGTTTTGCAATGTTTAGCTGCATTTACAGATGTTTATACACATTTCTACAGTTTGCTCTTGGTTATGCTAATACCTTTCTATATGTAAAAATACATAATATACTGTATATTGCTATACAAATTACTTCAGTAATGTCTAGTTTATAAATTTTGAGAGAAGTGCGAGTTGTGGTGTGGGGCCACTGATTGTAAACACTGCAATGAGTAAACAAGTGTCCATTAATTTATATTTTGCAAAACTATTTATAGGCATAGAACATTTACTTGGGTATCAAAATGCTTGGAATTAATGAGCGCAGGTACAGTATACAAAGAAATTGGACACTAGCTGTTAGGCGAGCAAGAGCACTAGAGTTTACCAAATGTTACTATATACATTTCCCCATTGTGCAGCCATTTATTGCTATAAATATTTTTCTATACAAATGTAGTTATATATTTGATCTATTTTGATGTACAGCACTTGAATTGTATTCACTCTGCCTCAATATAGCGTGCGCACAGTAGTCAAACAATTTTGGATATTTTGGAAACTGATAAGTAGTCATTGGAAATAAAACCCAAAGCTAAACACATGAAACACAAAGAAACATATGAAACAAATGAAACCCAAAGCTAAACTTCAAAACTGATGCTGTTGTTTTTTAGATTCGGCTACTTAAAATAAAAGTTCCAAAGTAGCACGGGCTATGGTGAGCCCGTAGTGGACTTGGCTGGCACAGGAGCGGGGCTGTAACTGATGCTAGAATTAGCTTATATTGTTACTTTGATGTTTGACGAATTGGAAATGTTGAAACCATTAGTAAATTGAAGGCCATTTGTAATGTAAACTAGGACATTATCATGCTCACTATCAAGTACAGTAATAATTTTTGTATGAGCAATATTGAGATAGGAATGGCTGATAACAGAATATGTAGATAAGTCTGCCAAAAGTTGTCATACACTGCTCTTGTGGTATCATAGGAGACACACATTTGCTGCTCTTTCATCCTGGTCAGTAATATAGCTTCTTGAAGGGTATGGGGTTTGGTACAACTAGGCACGTGCGTATTTTGCATTCGAACATTTAATTTTGCATTTTTGGGTATTGCAGATGTTGATACCCAACAAGTGTTGGTGCAGTTACTGTAGTACTGTATTGTACAGGATAGCTCTTAAATGTAAAATACATCTTTTGCTAAAATTCCTTCATTCATCTTTACCATAATTACTGCATGTGTTTTTTCTATATTTAATTTTTGTTTTTATCCATTTTTATGTGGAAATTTTTTAAGAGGTTAGTTTTAAATGAAGGCTGCAACACATTGAAAACATTCAAAGTTGGTTTTCTATATTATACTGTATTGTTTTCCTGCCAGGGGTTGGAACAGTTGCTGGGATGGAGTCAGAGGATAGTGGTGGAGGAACAGCAGACACATCAACATACCAGGTATTTCACAGTCGTACAGTAATTCTCTAGTCTAAGTATAGTTTGTAGTATTATAGAGACAACAATAAATGATAATTATAACAAATGTCATAAGATTTAAGTCTTAATAATCATGAAAAAAAGCATAACCTGGGCTATGTGGTAAACGACTTGTTATTCGATCTATCCAGCCAGCTATGCGACTTTTCCAAACTGGTCTCAGCCAAGATTGGTTACTTTTTGGCTGTCTAGATTATGGTTGGTTACTTTTTGGCTGTCTAGATTATGGTTGGTTACTTTTTGGCTGTCTAGATTATGGTTGGTTACTTTTTGGCTGTGTAGATTATGGTTGGTTACTTTTTGGCTGTCTAGATTATGGTTGGTTACTTTTTGGCTGTGTAGATTATGGTTGGTTACTTTTTGGCTGTCTAGATTATGGTTGGTTACTTTTTGGCTGTCTAGATTATGGTTGGTTACTTTTTGGCTGTCTAGATTATGGTTGGTTACTTTTTGGCTGTCTAGATTATGGTTGGTTGCTTTTTGGCTGTCTAGATTATGGTTGGTTACTTTTTGGCTGTCTAGATTATGGTTGGTTACTTTTTGGCTGTCTAGATTATGGTTGGTTACTTTTTGGCTGTCTAGATTATGGTTGGTTACTTTTTGGCTGTCTAGATTATGGTTGGTTACTTTTTGGCTGTCTAGATTATGGTTGGTTACTTTTTGGCTGTCTAGATTATGGTTGGTTACACGGGAACCATTTTATACTGTCTGCATTTGCTTGGCTAGTTGCTGAGCAGTTGTACTCTCCCTTGCTATAGCAGTGAGTTTTATTATTGATTATAATTGTAAACCTTGTACAGTATTGAACAGAAATTATACTGGATTATACAGTCTTCAAATAAAAGCACTCCATTCAGGTACAGGTATTGGATAATTGTTAATAATCAAACCATCTGAAAATCCAAGGAATTGGATAATGGGTCTGTATTTGTATTCAAATCTTTCATATACTTTTGCACAGTATAACTATGTATCTAGAGCAATGCTTTTTAGATTATGTCCAATTAAGTTCTAATTATTTTTGTACAGTATATTTTTAATTTGGCATATCTTGACATGCTGTAATTTAACATGTACCTGGTATGATAAAAATTCCTTTAATGCATCTTTCAAATGTAAATGTGCAAGACATGTAGGAACTATCATTATTTGTATTTTGCGATTTGCAGTTGTCTTGTTGCCCTTAAGTGGCCAAAAAAGTATTTCATGGATATTATTTAACCATCTTTTCCCTGGATCCCAAGCAAAGTAAAATTCCCGTTCCCCAAAGTTTTCCCTACTAAGTCTTGTGGCTACCTCTGCCTTCCCCATCACTCCTGAGTGCCCTGTGGTTATTTAACGGTGACTATGGGGGAGCGAGAACTAGCTCATCTTGTCCCACCCCTAACTGTTTATACCTGGTAGTGCTCACTCTCTCAACATTGTTTCATCATATTCTTTCGTAAAGTTGTGTATGGAATTGGCCTCGACCTCATATTTAAATTCGTTCCACTTGTTGACCAACCTGTTCGGTACCATGGCCTCTCTTTACCAAGTCCCCTAATACGTCTTGTGCTCCCCAATCTTCCCAAGCTCCTTAGAAGGTCTTGGCCATGTCCCATCCCACCCAGTGAGTTCCACACAAGATCCTATGTTCAAATAAACTTTTGAAAGGATGTTGCATTTTAGTGATGTTAATCACACAATATTCAAGGTAATGATACAGTACCTGATTATTAATTTTGAAATTACACATTTCATTTTATAAAAATTTGTCATAATTCCCTTTTGATGTGAAATCCGTATTTACTTCAAATTGAGTCAACATAGAATTCACAAATATTTTGCATTCAATATTAATAAATTGGTAAATATGTACTGTAATTGATATGGCTATTAATTGTCAGTCATATCTAAAGGGTACTGGAAACCCACTTCTGAGTTAAGAATTATAATAATTTAACGAATTACAGGATGTTTATCATTTGCATGTACGTACAGTATTTTCCACGTGTTTGTATAAAATAAGTGGAAAAATAAGGTGGTAATGTAGTGCTTGATAAATTGTAGGTTATTGGTACGTGAAAGTGTGTAGTGTACATGCATGTGTTGGTACAGGTGTGTAATACATTAAGTGAGAACATGTGACTGGTGGCACTTGGATATGACTCACCACAGTGATGTGCAGGTGTTTAAATAGACTTGGCTTATGGGTCATATGGTTAGGATTATTGTAGGTTGGTTTCTTTTATTGTTAAAGTTAAAACTTGACATTATTAAATATGAGCAGACAGCACATAATGATTAAAGGGAAAGTATTTATTTTAAATTGGTAGAGATGGATTGCAGTAGTGTAATTGCTTACGTGCCTTTTATATAATACTGTGTATAGTGTGTGCAGCTGGTGTCTTCAGTTCAAAGTTGTGCAAGTTAGAAGTAGATTTTGTTTTTTAATTTTATTAATCCATGGTTAGGAAGAGTCGAGGCATTGAGTAGTATTTTGCTGTTTATTTATGCATTAGTTAATGTGAATATAGAGGAGAAGAGGATTAAACTCCGATTTGTCTTGCACTGTTAAAAACTTTGTACAGTACTGGATATTGCCGTGTCCCTAATGCTAGTCATGAAAGTTCCATAACATACAGTATCATAAAATTAAACACTAAATTATTTCATGCATGCAAAATTTAATGCTAAAATTGTTTTATTTTTGTGATTTTTTGATCTTTGCAGGTCTTGGCTGCTCAGGATTCATACCCCAAGCAAATCTGCCAGTTTGACGAGCCATCTCTGTCCATTCCATTCGTTCCTCTGAATGGGGAGTATGCGCAGTTTGTGGGGCGCACATCAGATGGACTAATTGCACTCTCGAACTATCGTGTGTTTTTGCAGCAACGTGATGTAACCTACCATATACCCTTGGGAGTTATTGAGGGAATTGAGTGTCGTGAGATATTTTTCCTCTTTCTCCTATGTAAAGATACCAAGTCATACAAGTAAGTATTTAGGTTTTTATATTGTTTAGTGTAGTGGTCAGTTTACTGTTGCTGATGTGAGATGTTGCCTTAGTTGATATTACTGTTTTTTACAAAAAAAAAAAGGCAAAACAGCAGATTTAACAAAATACAGTATTTATCTTTGGCTTGTCTAGTAGTAATGTACTGTACAGTATTAACAATAACCTTTTCATTTCTTAAATTGGTTTGTTAATTATGGAAAATCAAGACACAAAATTGGCTTCTAAAATAATTTAGTTTATTTTAATCTAACTTAAAAATACTCCTTTAAATGTTCTAGAAAAACATTAGAAAAATTCAAATGACTTGCGTCTGACAAATATTGATGGAAAGTGATTTAATTTTCAACTTTATCTGCAAATTTTGTCATCTTTTTTTCCATATAATTCACATTTAATAAATACTGTACTGTACAGGGTACTGTACAACAATAGATTGTGCTGATATATAGGTACCAGTAACTTGTTTTGTGTGTAATATATAGGTTGGGCAATTTAAATTTCCTTTTTATATATATTGTTCCCATTATTTCGTTTAAAGTACTGCATAGAACAATTAGAAATTCTAAGAATATATTTGAGTTTGTTTTATTTATACTGTAGTTTGATATTCAGTCAAAATCAGAATTGCTTAATGTTTTCTATTTTATTTATACCCTCATATTTGAGTAACCAAGTTTGAAATAGAAATACTAGTATAATACATTTAATTATTTTGCATTGTATATAAAATGACATGTTTATGGTATGTGAACTTCAGGTGTACCTTTGGTACCAACGAGCAGTGTGCCGAGTGGCAGCGGCGTTTGACCAAGGCTTTACTTCTTCCTCAACGCTTGGAGAATGTTTTTGCCTTTGCATTCTATATGTGGAGTATGGAGGAAGCTGGGGAACTACATAATAATCTCTCGGAACCTGATGGCTTGCAGTCGTATGGTGTGCGAGTGGAGAAGATGTTTGATGAGGAGGTAGGCTGATGTGGATATGTGGCAATGAAATTAAGTTTGGTATCCTAGTGTCTAGGCTGTTCATTTCAGGTTGTCATTTTTCAGAGTATTTTATTTTTCTGTAGAAGCATTTGTTTGTAGAATGTAAAGGACAAATAATGAAATTACAGGGATTGGAACAGTACAGAAAGAAACAAGGTATTAAATGATGAGAGAAGATGGATTCCATGGTGGAAAAACGTTGCCTGGATCAGATATTTGCATCGAGACAACTGGTGGGAGAAAGGCAAGTGAAAGGGATTGTAAGGGGTATGGTCATTTTGTACTATGTAAAAGAAAGCATATGACCATGAACAGAGAGGTACTTTGGTGAAATGTTAAATGCCGAGAAGTAATTTTCAGAAAATATACCGTGTATTAATAATAAGCAGCATATAGACAATGAGTTAACTGGTCTCGTATAAACCTGTATGGATTGAATCGTGAGGGAGTGCAAGGTAAAACTGTTGAAGGGTACAAATTTATTGAATCATGGGAACATATGTTCATCAGATTCTATGTAGATATACCGTTGATTTTTTTTTTTTTTTTTTTAAGTGTGTGTTCTTTAGCAGGGGGTAATGTAAGCTACGTGTTTACAATTTTTCATTACAATATCTCTAAAGTATATTTAAAATAATGAGTGTAAATGGATAGGAGGAATGTGAAAAATGGGAAGAATGGTGAATATTTATAAAATCATAGTGTAGAGATTGTGTGAAAAGACATTGTAAATGGGGAGTGAATAGTTAATTTTATTTCTAACCATTTGCTTGGAGTACTGTAACCATTTGCCCCTCTAACTTTAGTTTTAATATACTAATTGTGACTTGGAAGAAATGGTTTGTTAGCATAAGAAGTTGTCATGCCTCTATAATGATTTCATTTACCTCAATTTAGGTTCGACGTCTTGGTTTTGACTTGGGAGGAGCATGGCGGATCTCTTTAGCAAACAGCGACTACCAGCTATGTTCCACGTACCCCAGAAAGCTGGTAGTACCAGCATCCATCAATGATAACATACTGGAGTCAGTTGCTCGTTTTAGATCTGCTCGAAGGATACCAGCTGTTGTTTGGAGGTTAGTTTGTGTTAATAGAATTTTTTTTCAAGACATTTATTGCTTGAGTTGCCCTCTCTTTGGGCAACTTTGTAATGGGATGATGATAATAGCTTAATGAGCATATTTTTATTTCATAATATTTACTGCTTTATCTTGCTTTAGAAATGCCAATTGTTTAGCCCTTGAATAATGAAATTCATTTCTTACCTCAGACATGCCAATGGTGCAGTCATTGCACGATGTAGTCAACCTGAGGTCGGATGGTTGGGTTGGAGATCTAGTGAAGATGAAGACTTGGTAAAGGCAATTGCTGAAGCTTGTGCTTATGACAGTCCTCCTGTAACATCATCTAGTAGTGTTCTTGGGACAACAACAAACCAGTTGGGGCCCCCTGATAGTGGAGAGAAGGAGGCAATGACTCCCTCGTCAGATAATCCCTCTATTTGTGATTTGCCCGAGGCCAAGGCTCAGGCAGATATAAAGGTAATTTATGGTATTGTTTTCTATAATTATTCAAGTTGTTAGCTTGCATATAGAGCTAAATTATGATAACTTGTAAGTCTGTTTTTACTGTTTTATTAATAAATGCTCTGATGTAAGAATCGCATAACAGGAGACAAGAAAAGCTGGCTATTAATTTTATTTGCTGAAGTTTTACAAATGTTTACCTAAAATGAGAATTTGCTCAATTTTGTGAATGATTATGGTTTGAAGGGTGTTGGTGTCTTAAAGTATATGGTGCACCTGACTGAAGGTTTGTTAGGCAAAAAATACTTAATTATATTTCATCATATATTATCATTAATTCAACATGAAATAATAATAATAATAATAATTAATAATGAATAATTAATACAATATTATAATGATACATTAAATTGTCATATGACAATATGGTATTAATTTATAAGCAAGATTGGTAAAATGTTGCAGGCTGTAGAACAGTACATAATACTGTAAGATTTTGTTTGCCTGTAATACTATACAGTAGTTATAAATGGATTTTGTTTTTATTTGCAGAAAGTATTAATCGTTGATGCTAGGTCCTATACCACTGCTGTGGCAAATCGTGCCCGTGGTGGAGGGTGTGAGTGTCCCGAGTACTATCCTCAGTGTGAAATTCAGTTCATGAATCTTGCTAATATTCACACTATCCGCAAGTCTCACCATGCTCTTCGTCAGCTTGTATCATCACCGCCAGACATTCCTAAGTAAGTGAAACTAATTACTATTATTTTATTATTAAAATTGTGCTTCTGTGTGATAGGAGTAAACTGGGTGTTACGAAGGCATGGGATATATGATAATTTGATGATAAATTAGCAATTTTATTTTGGCATAAAATTTAGGCAGACAAAAATTGTGAATTACGTAGTACTTGTTCAGAAACCTTTACTTTTGTTTGATGGACGAGAGCTGTTCTAGCAAATGTCTATACAAGTTTTTCACTTCTCCATCATTACAAAGTTACCAGCTTCAAGAAGTTATTTGCTAAAAAACTGGTTTACAGTGTCCAAAAACAAAACGGTTATATTGTATGTTTGAATTTTATAATTTTTCCTTTCAGTTGGCTATCCTTACTGGAGGGTTCTCGATGGCTTGGGCATCTTTCAGGCTTAATGAAAGCTGCTGTAACAGTTGTGCAAGCAATTGATCGTGAAGTAAGGCCGGTTTTAGTCCACTGTTCCGATGGTTGGGATCGGACGTCCCAAATAACTGCACTTGCGCAACTTCTAATGGATCCTTATTACAGGACTATACACGTAAGCTAAGCTCTATTTTTATTTAATATTGAAAACTTTTTCATTCATATACATTATCATTGCCCAATTTCCTACTTTAAAGGGGTTAGGGAGGCATTAGCTCAGTAAAAATGAAATTGCTTAATAGAGGAAAAATTAAGGGTGTAGATGAGAAAATCAGTAGGAGCTGTGACAAGGATTAGAGCCCATGCCCTGGGTACTCTCAAGCAAACACCTTAGACAACGAGGCCATGACATGTCAAAAGGATTACAATCTGGGATTCAACCGAATCTTTTAGGATTCCTGAGGCTTCCACTAAAGCCAAACCAGAGTTTCACACAATCCCCCCCCCCCCCCCATGCACTCTGGCTTTGTTGTTCAGAAATTCTATCTCTAATGCCTCCTCTTCAATGCACTCCAAAAATAGAAAACAAAATTGCAGGGAAAAATGAAATGAGTAGAGTAGTGGTAATACTAAATAATCAAAATCAAATGGCGAGTGGAAAGACATAACATTGGTGGAATTGAGAGAATGTAGGGAAACATTAAGAAGAGTAAGCGGTGTTTTAGTACGAATAACCAAGAATGAGATCAGTAGGAGAAATTACACTTGCTTTTTTTCCCCTCCAAGGTGTTTTTTTTTTATTAAGATCATATGGTCTATTACAGGTTTCTTTATTAAAATTATAATTATCATTAACCTTCCAAATGCAATCCAACAGGGTTTCCAGGTGCTAATTGAGCGTGAATGGGTGGAGTTTGGCCACAAGTTCAGTGACCGATGTGGTGTTGGTCGAAGCTGCGAAGATATCAATGAGAGATGTCCTGTCTTCCTTCAGTGGCTCGACTGTGTTCATCACCTCCTCTACTGGTATCCTACACACTTCCAATTCAACCAAGCATATCTGGTTAGTTTGTCGAGATTTTCCGTTAATTAATTTTGAGGAACAAATCTGTGGAGAATTTTAGCTTGCAAGATTATTTTTATATTTTTATTTAAGCATTATAAAAAGCTGATATTTTAGCTTTTAGGTGTGTGGTTAACTCACTTTTATTTTTTATGTCATGTCTGGGAAAAGAAACTTTGATTTAAAATCAAATAGTAAAAATTCATGTTTTGTGCTCTAGCTTGAACTGCACCACTTGGTTTTCATTATACTCTATTGTCTTAAAATGAAAACATTAAAGCATATGTAGTGGGTATGTGGGTCTATGGACCACTTCGAGCAACAGCCTGTTGCACCAAGTTAAGCCTGACTCTAGGTCATGTTTGGGGGGAGTAGAACAACTTTCAGAACCAACTCATTATTCCAGGTCCTGCTCAGGACAATCTTTGACTACAAGAAACTCAAACCACTTGGAAAAAGGTGTATAAACAAGAACACTATTCCAAAAACTATTTTTCTGGATTTGGTGTTAAAGTAATTTAATATGGTGGTCAGTATTGCAATTTTAAAGAAATGTAATTTTTTGTTGTGCATGGTTGAATATGTTTGAATAATAAGCATCAATTTGAATGTAAACAATTCATTTTTAACTTAAATTAAAAAAGTATGAGAGGGTGATTGCCATAAACACTAGCTGGTATAGTTAAGTTACATATTTATTAAATTATATTGTGACAATATTTATAGGATATGGCTTTGTGGAAGCAGTTAGGAAGGAGTGAATATATATGATGACCAAACAAAACGTCAGGAAATGAAGAAATGTGAACTTTTGGTCCATCCTGGACCCAAGTCCTGGACCATTACAGGACTTGAAAAGTGGTCCAGGACGGACCGAAACTTCATCGCTTCTTCATTTCCTGATGGGTGGTGTGGTCATCATATCTTCAGCCACGTTACTGTAACTCATCATCTGCAAGTGAATGTATTTGTATGCAATGTATGACACGTGGAGAGAAGTGTACACGTGGCCTTGAGGAGCAGCGCGCTGTTTCTAGTGTGGGGTGGTGTTTATCTCTGATGCTATATAGAGAGATATTGAATATTTTTATGTTCAACTTTCTTTAATTATACTGTGTTCTTGAGGCAAAAAAGTGGGAAATGGGGTGATATTGATAAAACTAGTTAAGTAAATAGCTAGTTTGTAAGATAAATGTTTCCAAAGATAATCTTTTGGTTTTTATTCCTGCATTATATTTTGTCTAATTTGGATAATTTCTTGAATGGTTTTCTTATATTTTAGCTCTAGTAAATACTTTTTGTACTTTTACTGCTAGTGTATTCTTATTCTTGTGTATATTATTATATGCACCATTTAATTATCCATGCATATTTTTAAATGGGTTTTGTTTTGGCAGGTTAAATTGGCCCAACATGTATACAGCAATCTCTTTGGCACATTTCTCTGTAACACCTCTCAAGAGCGGGTCCAGGCAGAAATTGGAGACCGCACATATTCTGTTTGGTCACTTCTCCGGCTCAACCGTCACCGATACACTAACTACCTTTATTGTCATTCTAGTGAGGTTTGTACAGTAGTTTTAACTATATGGTATAAAGTTCATTGATTGTCATGGGTTTAATGACATTTTTTTTCTTGTTTTAAATTTTGGTAGAATATGGATACGTTGTCATGCAGATCTGTTGGTTAATAGTGAATTTTTCTTGTCACAGGTACTGTCTCCTGCATGTCACACTAAAGATTTGCGGTTGTGGACATCGGTTTACATGCCCGAGATGGGGGAAGTTACAGAAGATCCAAACACCGGCGCCCACATTAATGGGGATGATGAGGTGAAAGCAACAGCAAGACATACTTAACATTTTAAATTTTTGAAATATAGTAGAAGGGAAAATTTAACAGCATAGAGTAGGGATGTTATTGTCTTTGCTGACGTGGATATCAAAGGCAGTTGACTTACTGTGTGGATTCTGGTAGCAGAAGATCTCTGCATGCTCTCCAAGTCAGCAACTTCTCTAGCCTTGATTGGGGCTGCCAGTGTGCAACAATGCTCCATTCTAAAGAGCACCGGTATCTTAAAAAGTATCATCATTGGTCTGGGATCTCCTGTTTGAAAAGTTCCTGCTACACAATCCATCACCCTTCTTGCAATAGCTATGCCTATTGTGTTTTTTAGCCACTGCACTGCTTTACATTAAAATACAACACAACCGTGGTGCACTGAAAATAAATTTTCCAACAAATTCTTTTCTTTTTTTATATTGTTAAAATGCAGTCTCCGATCACTGGAAACTAACAAAAAAACTATTGTATGTGACATAATTTAGCCGCAATGGAGTGCTCAAGGTCACTAGGCCCAGCCACCCCGGGAGGTGGCAGTTGCGGCGAATATAATGTTTCACAATTATTTTGATGTTTCTCATTTGTTTCTTCTGTTTTTTGCTGTAATATTATTTAAGAGAGTGTAATTTGTGGAATTTATGTAGTTCAGTGTGTGGAACATCGCTATGCTCAAAATTATGGGGCTCATATGTGACATGTATATTATATTTTACGATCAGTCAAACAGTGTTTTTGCTGTTATTACACTATATACACACATTGTATATACCTATCTACATATGTTTTCACCGTAACAAACCACTAAGTTGTATGGCGAGCCCAAAACAACAAGAGTGGCTGCAACACAGCAGCCAACAGACCGCTGGCCGACTCCCTCCCTCCCGTCAGCCTGTTGGCCGACTCCCTCCTTCAACACCCATTCACCAACATTCTGCCTCCCACCTTACTGTTATTGTTTTCATTATACTATTTAAACATGTTATATATAAGTATCTACAAGTTTTATTCATCATAGCTGTACAACTAAACCGGTATGGTGTCCAAACATCATAGTGGTCATAGCATGACAAGTCACACAGCAGATGACAGCCTCACTCACTCCCTCACCTAAATAGCTTCTCCCAACATAAGCCTTTTGCTGTTATTACACTCTATACACACGTTATATATAAGTATCTACATTTGTGTTCACCATAGCGAACCACTAAACTGGTATGGTGATTCCAGACATTAATATGTTGCCACACACCACCCAGCATCCGATGCCACCTCTCCCTCCCTTTCTCACCAACAATACTCCTCCCACTGCTAATTCTCACCACAATCCTGCTATTATCAGAATCCTGGTCAGTAAATCGTGTAAATGAATAATTTTCCACATGTTTATTTTGTTAAGGAACATGAGAAATGGTTTGAATAATTTTAGATGGACGAAATAATGGCAGTGTGCTGTGAACATCTTGAACAGCATTTATTCACCGATATCTGAACATTGCACTCAGTCTTTATCACAGTCGGGCTTTTCTGTTATACTATCATGGCTAAATAATACCAGATAAATATATATTTGGACATTTTTAAGCAATGCTGGGGTCAAAAGCTGAACAGCAATGCTGTTAGCTCATGCTGCATGCACCAGCCTTGGTTGCTCACTCAGTACTGAGTCCTTCACACCTGGGAATGTTGCCCACGATTTAAAAAAAAAGAAAAAAGGCATCTGTTTAGGAGAGCCCTGAGGAAGCTGATGTGAACCCCGTGTAGCCGCGGGAGTTTTGAATGATACGCTATACAGTGTAACTAAGAGCCCTGAGGCGCGATGCGCACCACCCGCCGAGAGCTTCAAGGCGCGTTACGCAGTGCAGTGGTTTAAAGCAAGATCCTTCGACATAATTACTCCCAAATCCTCCACATTGCCTTTTCCTTCAACAGTGTGGTCTGACTGTACCTTGTATGTGGTTTCTGTCTTGTTACTTTCGCCTTTTTGAAATGCACAAACTGGCACTTATCCTCGCCAAACATTTTCCATGGCCCACTGAAAGACCTGACTATCAGATTGGAGGTCTGCTGTGTCCCCGACATTGTCCACTCCCATGAAAATCCTAGTGTCGTTTGCAAAAGATGACGGAAAGAGATGCAGTACATGTCTGATATGAGGATGAGTAATAGCACCGGAGCAAGCACAGCACACGGGGACTGAGCCCTTCACTGTAGATGATCTGGATTTCACCATATTGACTACTACACTCTGGGATTGGTGTGTTAGGAAATCAAAGATACATCTCTGCATCCTACCAGCAATTCCTTTTTTGTGTACCTTGTGTGTGATACCACCATGATCACACTTGTAGAAGGCTCCTGCAAAAGCTGTGTATAAAGCATCAGTGCTTTGCTCACTCTCAGTGGCACCCAAGGCCATGTCATAATGGTCCAACATTTGTGGGGGCAGGAGTGCCTTGTCCTGTACCCATGTTGTCCAGGGTTATGTAGACTGTGATGCCACTTCCTAGCACTCGCTCAAAGACTTGGGTGTGATGCTAAAGCCGTCGATCTATAATTCCTTGTGTCTGCTCCACTTTGTCCCATCCCAAATCCTTATTCTGACCCTTTCAAGTGCTATGTAGTCGTAATGGCTTAGTGTTTTCTCCTGATAGTTCCCTTCCCTTCCTGCTCCACTTCCTCCGTGAAGGTGTGTGTGTTATCTTCTGTTTTAATCATTCATCATGTCGGAGAAAACACCAGTGTCCAAGCTCCTCCAAATTTCTGCCCGGTTTTGGTTTATTTGTTCCCAGTTAATGCGTTTTATTAAAATTGAATTTAAATTTTAATATCGTCCACTAATAACCTCAATTTATATAAAAAAAAATAGAAATGAATTTACAGGGAATTCTTTGCGCTGAATATACTCAAGATGCCATTAATGATTAAGGCTCAGTCTGCACAAAGCTTGAAACTCGAGTGAAGGAGTGTTCACTGGGCTAAAGTGCCAGTGATAGGGCTGAAGAATGCTTCTTTTTTCACGTCATAATATTGTTTAAAAGAAATGCTATGGCATGTTTTACCTTGGGAGATTTTTAGTAAGTAACCTAATCAACAGGAGGAAGAGGAAGAACCCGCTGCTGGGGGTGAGCTCGTTAAGACTAAGTCGTGTGATGATCTCCTGGCTAACACTTCTCCGCCGCCTCACCACCCCTTGCGACGTTCTTCTGATCCTAACATTAGAGACAGGTTAGTTTCTTTGTCATTACAGTATGGTTGTTCATTCCTAGTGCTAAGAATAATTTCCATGCTTATTTTGTTCATCGCAGTATTCATATCTATACATTTGCAGCATAAACTCTTAATTAAATTTTATTAGACACACACATACTGTATTTAAAAGTTAAATTATGGGCTTTAGAGGCTTGCATTATGTAGTGTGTAATGTATGTTGAATGGACAAGTGTAACTTTGTAACATTAATTTTCTTACCTATGCTGCTGCTTTTTTGTTTCCTCTAGGTGAATGTGTTACCACTTCATGAAGGAAGTTAATATAATAATAATAATGATGATGATGATTGTATATTGGCAGTAAATTGTCTGCATATGGTTTAATCATTTTATTTTGTTTCTCAGCTGTCCAAACATGGCCATGCTCAACTCTGCTCTTGGTGCAGAACTAGCCAATGGAGATGCGGATGCTGTCGTTGAAAATGGGAATGAAGAACCAGGCATTGATGATTTTGATGCCTATGAGGATTCTACTAGTGAGCCTAATGGAGAAAGGCTAAATGATGAATCTGAGTCATTGACTTTATGCGAACCTTCTGTATCAGAATCTGAAATTCATGAGTGTGTGAATGTAGTGCAAAGTGAGTGTAGTGAACATGGTATAGAAAATGGGGAAGAAGCGAGTGAAGTACTGGGACAAGAACTTGCAGAAATAGATGAAGATAGTAGCAAGGAAATGATTGAGGACTTTAGAAGAGAGCAAGAGGAAGAAATGTATTGTAATAGACATAGAGTTAGTGGTGGGCATCGGTTCAGAGGTTTGGCTGAACAGTCCATTGAAGGATCCACAGACACACTAGTAGCTGAGGTGGGAGTAATAGCTAGTGAAGAAAAGGTTCCCCAGGAGAAAAATAGTGAATATTTACCTTTATTGAATGGAGAAATTGGACAAGAGAACTCCAAATCATTACTGAATGGAAAATGTTGTCCTTTCATGAATGGTATGTCTGGGGAGGAAAATGAAGTGTGCACCACAACTAATAATAATCGCAAACCTTATAAGAAAGGCCCTGTATCTTCTGTGTTGGAGAATGGGCTAGAAGAACGTCTGGAAAAACGGATTGTGAATGGTGTGTCAAATGTAAGTGCTGTCATGAACAGCGTTACATCTTCAGGCTGTAGCATCTGTATCCAAAGTAAGAAATTGTTGGATGAAACCAGTAATGGGGACTCGTGGCGAAGTGCAGGACTTATGCAAGACACCTCTGTTATTGGGGGTACAGTGCGAGGGGTTACCACAGGTCCAGGAAGTAGAGTTTCACTGTATTCCACACCAATGCACTCCCGGACACCGTCGTCGTGTATACCTTCAACACCTTGTGAGGATAGGTAAGTGTCTCCTCAACTGTGTATTACCCTTGCACTTAGGCTCTTCAGCTTCAGTACGTTCAACTGGTATCTTCTTACAGTTAATCTTACCAGATTGAATGTGTTGTTGATAAAACCTGTTCAAACATGGGCTACCAACTGGAAGAAGTGTTAGATTGTGAGCTATGCACCAGTTTGCTGTGCTTGTAATTCAAGTTGTTTCAAATGAAAGCAGTGTCAAAAGTATTACAAAATATTTAAAGAATAGCTATAGATATGGAGAATCTAAGATGTTTTTGTAGTGTTAGGAGGATATGGTAAAAAATTAAAATGTTGGTGGAAGATGTAGAGTACAATAACCAGTTAATTATAAGATTAAAGTGTTGGTATAGTTATGTTGAGTGAAGGTGAAGGGAGGCGAAGGTGCAGATAATGACGATCAGACATGTTGAGTGAGATTTTGTGGAAGCATGGATTGAAAATGAAAAGCAACAAGAGCTACAGAAATGGGGAATAACTGTAAGAGTGAATGTTCATTTTCAGCTTAATATGATGGGGGATGTGATGGAAGGATTTCAATGTCAACAGGCACTTTCAAAACAATGAAGCTGGGTTGCACAACCAGATTTGGGTAACAAGAGCACCAGGTGGGGTGTAATGTTACTTTTTTTTTTACCACCTCCGTGCACAATGTCCTGCCAATTCTCCCTGATGCTGTATTTACAGTCTGGGTTTACAAACTAGACAGCAAACAGCAGTTTTCTAGAGATTAAAGTGTAATTTGCCTGAGCAATGGGCATAATACTGATAAGCTCCCATCCATCCTTATGGGTCAATCATTCAATCCCAGTGGGAAATCAAATACTAGATGGACCTCCCTCGAGTGGGTGTGGTATAAAATGGAGCAACTTTAATCATCTTCAGGCATTTGGAGTACATGGGCCAATTGCTCTGAAGCAATTGGAGCAGTGTAAGGGCTAACCTTTAAAATGCAGTTAACATCACATGTTGATTCCCAGGATAATGTGGTTGTCATCATTTGTTGATTGTACTGTATGTATATTCCCAAGGCTATTTTCATGTTTATTTTGTGGTTGTTGGTGAGGGATGATCTAAAACTGGCTTGTGTTCCTGTCTGTCACTTCTGTGAGGACCATTCCATGAGGAACTGAGTTTTGCACCATAATCAGGCTGGATGTTGTTTGTTTACTGCCACTATTTCTTTTTGTTAAAATTTTTGTATTTGTAAAGGTGTCAAGGTACAAAACTTTTAACAGAATTTTATGCAAAGTAATATTTTATTGCTTGTGTGGGGTCTGAGAGTCTGAGATGCCTTCCTTTGCAGGTTCGGCAGTGGTGGTGACAGCAGTAGAGGTAATAATTATGCAACTGTTGATGGCCTGCATAATGTTAGCGATGAAGTGACTAAGAGATTACACCAAATCCTCCTACATCATCAGGTAAGGCTCTATATTATTATAATAATGGCTTTGAATAGATGCAGTATTGTTAAAAGGAAATATTGTATATAAGAAGGAATTGGGCCAATATTGAATCGTGAAGCCACAGAATGGGATGCTTTAGTACACAATGTATCAGAGTAAGATCAAATTATGGCTACATACTGTTTGGTCCACAATCCAATGAAGGCAGTACACAAGGACAACAGATCTGTGTTTTCAAGGTCAGACAATCATGAGAGAAGAGTTAACAAATTGACCTTCAATATATATAACTATCAATAAATAACCCACAATTTGACTGAAATAAGAAGGGAAAATAATCTTGTAGATCAAATCAATTCTGGGAGTTAGAAGAAATGCGAACAATCTGGCTTGCCGTAAGGCTGGATCGGAGATTGGAAGCAGGAGGCAGCAACCCTAATACTGTACTGTATCTCCAGTGTGACCAGAAAGTAAAAAATAAAATAAATAAATAAATAAAATAATTAGTTAGTTAAATAAATGCAGCAGGTTTATTATGAGGAAAGGCTAGATAGTGCACTTGCATAGTGTGTAGCTATTGGGTAAAGTAAAAATGCTTTGCACTGTTTTATAAAGTTGCCACAGATTGATGTGGCTATGAGCACACTATAGCCCGTTCTACATTGACATTTCGTTCTGAGTAGATAATTCTTCAATAACAACAACAAATATCTTATACTGTACAATGAAACAAGAAGTGTATTTGAAGGTGGTGTATTCTATGGCCTTCCTTCTACCACTGTAATAGACAGTTGGAAATAGTTGATACGGCTGCATTTTAGCCACACATGCTTACTTATAGGCACTTGATTGAATATTGCTTTGCTTCTTCCGTTACAAACATTGATCAACTTAGTTGATCGCCTCCTTGTGCAATGTTCACGCATTTCAGGATGATTTTAGGTCTTGCTTGCACCCCTCTGGGTCACTGGCCCCTCAGTTGATTCCAATGCAGTTGGTGCATGTGCATATCATGCAATAGGACCTCGTGTTCCTTTAGAAAATGAGCATGTAAAAAATGGTTTGTGTTCAATATTTAGTGACCAGAATTTTTATATTAATAGCGGTGTTTTGACTAGTGTTAGCGATTCTTATCTTGAGGTAATCTTGAGATGATTTCGGGGCTTTAGTGTCCCCGCGGCCCGGTCCTCGACCAGGCCTCCACCCCCAGGAAGCAGCCCGTGACAGCTGACTAACACCCAGGTACCTATTTACTGCTAGGTAACAGGGGCATAGGGTGAAAGAAACTCTGCCCATTGTTTCTTGCCGGCGCCTGGGATCGAACCCAGGACCACAGGATCACAAGTCCAGCGTGCTGTCTGCTCGGCCGACCGGCTCCCCATACGATGTGCATAATATCTGGATACACTTTGCTTTTTCAGGTGCTGTCGGCAACTGATGAGCATGTGTGGCTAAGCTGTGCTTAGAGCAATGGTTATGAAATTTTCACAGTTGCCAGAACTGTTTAGTGGTTTGCAATGGTGCATAGCATGTAGATACTGTAATTATGTGTGACATGTGAATTCTGTGTCATAATATCAATCAATATATCAATATTGATGTGTGTATATCAAATAATATACACCTGGAAGATACTGGAGGGCCAAGTACCAAATCTACACAGTAAAATAACAACGTTCTGGAGTGAACGACATGGAAGAAAATGTAGAATACAACCAATGAAGAGCAGAGGTGCCATAGGCACAATCAGAGAACACTGTATAAACATCAGAGGTCCGCGGTTGTTCAACGTCCTCCCAGCAACCATAAGAAATATTGCCGGAACAACCGTGGACATTTTCAAGAGGAAACTAGATTTATTCCTCCAAGGAGTGCCGGACCAACCGGGCTGTGGTGGGTATGTGGGCCTGCGGGCCGCTCCAAGCAACAGCCTGGTGGACCAAACTCTCACAAGTCGAGCCTGGCCTCGGGCCGGGCTTGGGGAGTAGACGAACTCCCAGAACCCCATCAACCAGGTATCAACCAGGTATAATAGCAAAATATTACCGGGTATGTTTTTATTTTCCAAAGAATATAATGTCTGAATATTAGTGACACAACTGTATGTGCGTATATCAATATTCCTCACATTTTATTATAAAAATGTCTCAAATTACACACTATTGCATAACATAACTGCAAAAAAAAGTGAAAAAACAAATGCTTTGACTGAAATATCACATAAATAAATTTGCGACAACTTCTGCTGCGTTCCTGGCACAGATGGGCTCCTTAGGGCATTTTCTCTATGGATGCTCATGAATCATTACATCATGAGATTTCATCTCCCTTATTACAGCCTAAGTAAGCTACATAATTTTTAAAAGTTTGCCTGTGATTATTTTAGCAATATTAAAACAAAGCAAAAATTTAAAATTTATTTTTTCTTGCGCACCAGCTGATTGTCAGGTAAATTGATTGTGCTGTGTAAGGGTTAATGTTAATTTGAACCATTTTCAGTCTGAATTGGAAACCCTAAAGCGAGACCTTCAAGCAACAAGACAGGCACTGTGTAATCAGGTTCTGCACAATCGCTGTCACCACCACCACCATGACCCCACTGAAGACCAGGTTAGTGCTGTGGTTCCATGTTTGCTTTCCCTTGTATTCCCAGTGGGACATAATTAGGTATCACTTGGGGGGAATATGTTGAGGAAAGGTTGCTGTCTATGGCCACCTAGGAAAGTCACTTGCATTACAAGTAGAGTGAAATATAACAGTATTAACTTACTGTAAAATACCAACTTAATTTGATTTGATATTAACTAAAAGTCAGTGTGCACTAGAGGTTTGAGATCTGTAGTTATGGTTTTGTGTGTTGTAGTAATATCACTGTTTTATAGGAGTTATATTACATTGGGATTTAGTTATGATGGTGTCATCAATATCTAGACTTCATCTTCATTAAATACTTGAGTCATGTTATAATTAACTATTTCAACTTTGTAAAAAAATTTGCACTTTCAAAGGATTCTGGCAATATTTGTTTTTTTTTTCTTTTAAGATGTCCCTGCCAGAAAGTGTAGGGTCAGGATCTGGTGGCTCTGTAGGTCAAGAGTCTGGTGTGTCTGATACTTCATGGGAAGCTGTCGAAGAAGGAGAGGCTCGTCCCACACTATGGGTACCAGATCATGCTGTGGACTCCTGCACTGGATGTAATACCCAGTTTTGGATAGGTCGACGCAAGCACCACTGCAGGTCAGTTTCCAGGTGAAGAAATTGTCTGCATTTTATTGTCAATACTGTATATGAAAACTTGTATGAATAATGCAGGTCAAAAAAATTGCATTTTAAAGTTCATATAATACTCAGAAGGTAAGATTCGGTACTGTTATTGGATTTTATACGCATGTTTGACATGTAAAATATCACAGCCATTCACAAAGCAAAAGCATTTATTTTCATATTTAATTGTGTTCCATGTTGGACAGTATTGAAGTTAGTAATATTACAATGTTTCATGCCTCATGAATGCAGTAGTAACCCACAACTGCTTTATCACAAATGTTATTTTATTCATTTTCTAAAGTAAATAAGTATAAGAAGAAAGCAGTAAGCCAGAACGGCAATGTAGCTTCAGTTTACCGACGTGCTCAGTTGGTTGCGTGACAAACAACCAGCATTGTGAAATTGGACTGCAGAATATTCCTTCATTTTATTTTTAAAAAGAAACTTTGGCTTTTGGTATTCGCATGCACGTTGGCTCTATCCAAGGGATAAATAATGAAGCTGAATTTAAATGTTGTGGTGTATTTAATATTACGTTTAATGCTTTATGGCAATACAAGTATCATTTATTTCTAGCTAATAATAATAAGGTGATCATTGAACTATGTTTTTGTTTAGGGGTGTGTGTGTACATTGATGTGGAATTGAGATTTCTATTTGGTGTCAAGCACTTATTTTACACTTCCTGTACTCTACACGGCAAAGATTTTTGAGCCAATTCTTTAAAACTGAATTTCATTGGAAGGTTTTACTATATAGTGTTTGCAGGTTATCAGAGGTGATATAATGCATATAATACACACAGAAATCACAATAGCATGATGCATCAAATGAACAAATCCATAAGAGCCATGACAAGGGCGCATCCGTGATCCTCTCGGATGTAGGTTCGAACCCTCATCACAGCCCTTGTGGATTTGTTCAACGCAGACAAGTTACAGCTCTTTATATGTAGATATAGGAACACAAATACTCTCCTGCTAATTTGCTCATGAAGCTTAGCAACAAAATATTTAAACTATATGCTGTATTGTATTTGTCAAAGTGTAGAAGTTTGTAATTACAAATGCATAAGTGAATTCTATATTTAAATGGTAAAGATATTTTTAGTGAAATATTTTTTTTAATATCACAAACTTGGTTAGTTTTGAGCAAGTTTTCAGTTACCTTGTGCATTGTTATCAGTTGTAATAATATTTATGCAAATCAGTTGAGGCATATGTGTATACAGTATACATAATCCAAATGGCTAGAAAACCCTCCCCCATCCCCATTTTTTTTTATTATGGAATAGTAGGTATTAATTCATAGTATTGATTTTTTTTACTAGCCACTAAATACATTACACCTCTAAATACTATCCAAAACAATGTTATCAGACTCCTGGTCACTAAATCTTGAATGTGAATAATTTTTTGCATATAAATTTTGTAAAGGACGATGAGGCGCACTTGCATGATGTGCAGATGCACCAAACTGCAGCTGTGTGGTATGGCTGCGAGCCTTGCACTGTGAACATTGTCAGCAACACTGGCTTCACTGATATTTGAACCTTGTACATAGTCTTTATCACTGTCAGGATCTTTTATGACATTGCAGGCGATAGTCACAATAATGTGGCTGAAGTATGTTGACCAGACCACACACTAGAAGGTGAAGGGACGACGACGTTACGGTCCGTCCTGGACCATTCTCAAGTCGATTGTTGACTTGAGAATGCTCCAGGATAGACCGAAACGTCGTCGTCCCTTCACCTATTAGTGTGTGGTCTGGTCAACTTTTATGACATTATACTAAATAATAGCAGTTACTGTACTCATTTATTTCTTTTATATAGTCATTTTACACAGCATTTTGGATGTATTTTAAGTAGCAAATATGAAGTTTTGATCTCTGCAAGACAAGAAATTGTTTGATAGTTTTAAAGCAAATTAACATAAACATGGGTAATGTTGTAATAGGTACTAGTAATACATATGAACACCAGTATGTACTGTATACTGAAGAAGCAAAATGAGGGGTGTGCTCATCTAGAGAATTTACAAGTCTTAACAAAATATATATTAAAGAGTTCTCTTTATTGGTTCAGCGGATCATCTAGTTCAAGTATTCAGCCAGTCGACCAGGAAGAGGTAGAGGAACAGTTTAATGTCTGCTAACTGTCACTAACCCATGACTGTTTACTTGAGTGTGATCAGTACTAGCAATTGTTTGTTGCAAACTAATACAAGCAATTTTTCTCTCTATTTTTTTGTTTTAATGCTTTAGTTTGTCCAAAATTTTTAAGCTTCATTGCATTGCCCATTTGTTACTGTGTGTAGGTATCCTGTGTACAACAAAAACTGGTACTTGATTGATAAGATTGTAGAAGATTGAATGAATGTTTTTATTCATGAATGTTTTAATGGAATGTTTATTTCCACGGAAGTGTGGATGACAATATGACCTAGGCGTGGGTCACTAATTCCTCTTAGCTTCAGTAGTAGTTAGGGAAAGTTGAAAATTCCAGTTTGGCAGCAAGATGATGCTTCTGGAAACTTGACTTATTAAAACTTCTCAACAGCTCGGTCGATAGAGCTTCGGCCTTGCACATGTGGGGTCCACGGTTCGAGACTCCCAGAGCCCAGGTGAATGGATTGAATGGAGTAGTTTCAATGACAGACATGGCTGAGTGAATAATTTGAATCTGTCACACGTCTTCATACTTCTGTGTTCTGATGATGCTAAACTGCGTCCTCCTTACTCTGACAGTAAATGTTCCGAAAACATTAAAACACGTCTTAGGATTACTATTCGGAAACATCTGTGTTATCATCTCTATCATGCATGGCCTATTATAAATACTCGTTGTCTTTTCACGAGCTCTCTAAAATAATTAATTTTATCAACATTTTTGACACCAAGTTTGACATTCCTATTACAGTAATCATATTAGGCATATATACAAGGCTTTCACCTTTCTCTAATATTTTTTTCTTGAGTGACTGAACAGTGGCTCCTTGTTGCTAGCTGCACTGATGGCTCCACTCATAATACAGTAGTATATATCCGCGCTTTAGTTTACCTCGGGTACCGATACATGGTTTCCAACTTCTGTAATACCACAGTTGGATGAAAAATTAATTAGCATGTCAACAAAAGATATTTTGTTTTGTTGTCTATGGTGTTGGTTCCTTATTGCTTTCATCATCATCCGCCTCTTTGTCGAACTTGCCAGTAACAGATTGGAGAATCTCATCTCTCATCACACCATATCCTGGGTCGTTAGCATTTCTTTCTAGTCATTCAACCACATCCTGTCTCTCTAAATTTTCATCAGCATTTCTAAAAAACTGCTGGATAATCCAAAGATTCGGAAAAGCAGTCTTCAGATAAGTGAGCTTATACAGTATGTGTTGTGTAATTACCCAAGTGTAGCTACAGGACGAGAGCTACGCTCATGCTATCCCATCTTCCCAGTACTCTGTCATATAATGCTTTTAAACTACTGGTAGTTTTTGGCAGCCACCCCTTTGCACTTAACTTGTTCCAACTGTCTGCCACTTTGTTTGCAAAAGAGAACTTTCTTATATTTTTTGGCATCTTTTTGTTTCCTTACCTTGAATCTATGACCTCTTGTTCTTGAAGTTGCAGCTTTAAAAAATTGCTCTGTAAATTGTCAATTCCTGCTACTATATGCATGTATCTGTCTTTGTATCTACATGTATATGTTTACATTTGTGTTTTTGTTTGAGAATTAATATTGTATATCAGAAGATTTTATAATTGCATTCCAAATTATGAAATATTAGAAAATTGGGATTTTTTTTAACTATATAAGTAAAAGCCAGGCCATACTAGTACAGTACTTTTAAGTTAGTGAAAAAAGTGGTGCAGAACAAAGAAGAGGAAATGTAATTCATGATTAAGAATGGATGGTGGACGTGTACTCTGAAGCGAAGATCCAGCACGCAACAAGTACCGGAATAAATTTTTTGTATGTTATTAGACAATGCTATGTACAGTAACTTTCTTTAATCTAGTAACTGCATACAGGCTATCACATGTACCGTGAGCCACGGAGAAAGGCAGTCATACACACTATGAGCCACAGAGGATGGCAATCATATACACTGTGAGCCACGGAGGATGGTAATCTTATACAGGTACACTGTGAGCCACGGAGGATGGTAATCTTATACAGGTACACTATGAGCCACAGAGGATGGCAATCATATACACTGTGAGCCACGGAGGATGGCAATTATATACACCATGAGCCATGGAGTTCGGTAATCATATACTACAAGCCAAGGAGTGTGGCAGTCATACACACTACTTGCCGTGAAGGAAGGCAGTCATTCGTACTGTGAGCCACAGAAAATGAATGTGCTGGCAAGAACTGATTGAACCAAGCAAATTTTTAACTTTAAATTTGTGGTATTAAATATGAAAACAATGTCCTCAGTATTATACAGTACTGGTATATGAAGACATTTTTTGGGTGGGAAAAACCCCCAGAGGAAAACATATTTCTGGATTGTGTGTGTTCCTGGACCACAATCGACTTGATAATGGTCCAGGACGGACCGAAACTTTGTCGTCTCCTCATTTTCTGGTGTGTGGTTTCTCTTCATATCATCATATCTTATGCCACGTTTTTGTGACTCATCATCTGCATACTTCTGGACTGTGTTTCCCCCCGAGGTAATTTTTATACCGATTTTGGTGTTGACTGATTGTGTCTAGTTAATCTAGGTACAGGTTAAGGCAGTATATGATCATACTTGGATCATACTTGGCTAGACAGGGCTTCATTCTGTACTATTGGCTGGATTTTTACTTGTGACTGTATAAACTGTGTATTATACAGTTGAAGACTTCTTTAAGAAAGAGCTTAATATTTACTTTAGTGATTTTTACCTTGAAAATAAAAATAATATTTTAACTACAATTTGTAGCATGTTTTCAAATAATTCATACTTTAATGCTCATTTTTCTGC